ATTTTATTAAAAATATATATATATTATTATGTTCATTTTTGGATCCATAGGATTTTGAAAAAGTGTTCTGGTAAATTGTTTTCTTTTCTTGCATTTTCATATTTGAGTCAGTCATTGTAAATATACTTGATTGTAATTAGGGTTCTTAATATAGTACATAAAACTTTTTATGGTTCCTAGTTCTGATTTTTAAAACCTTCAAAAAACCTTTATAATCCWCTACCTATAATAGTCTTTAATTATTTGTATAATAATTGAACATCAGTGATTGACAATCAATACTACTTAAGTTTGAACAAATATTCTTAAAACAAATTATTGTATATGTATAATATAAGTAATCAGTAACTCAAAAAAATTAAAATTTTATATTTTATTAAAGCAATATGTATATTGATAATAATCTCAATTTTCGCACTTAGTTTTTAATAACCACTATTTTATGGATGCCACTGTCATTGATTAGTAACCTTAAACAATTAATTTTTTTGATTTAAGATAATGTTTTTATTGCATTGACAAATAATTTTGGCCTTGCTTAATATAATCATAATTAAAAAAAATATATTGCTTTATTATTATTTGATTTGCTTGCAGTAATTTTATTTTTAATTATACATGTATTTATGAAATAAATTACTTAGGCGAACAACCGGCAACTGAAACTGTTCCATCAAATGATGTGAATCAAACAAATTCAACTATAAGTAATGATAATCCAGTTGCWGAAAAAAGTGATGAAACAAAAACTGAACAGTGTAATGAATCTAGTCAAAGCAATGATACCAATGATATTGATAATGAACCACAGATATATGAAGATTCTATAAGRATACGACTCAAGTATTTGAATGACAATTGTCGTTTAGTTCAAGGCAGGCTGCAGGAAACTATTGGAGTTTTCAAAAGGTATTACAAAAATTGAATAATGAATGCTATCTTACAATCTTATTGTGTATTATGATATGTTATTTTTATTTCAGGAGACATTTTAGCAATGAGCTTACATCCAATAAAATTATTCGTTTGATATTCCAAGGAAAGGTATTACATGATGATGAAGCATCACTGAGTAGTTGTGGTCTTCATGATAATTGTGTTGTACACTGTCTTATACATCAGCCACGTCCTACAGCTAATACTCAGCAAACCCCTGATCCTGTAAACCATAATACTGCTGAACAKCCAATACCAAATGCAATACGTCATGGCCAACGTCAACCTGGACCAGTTCAACGTGAATGGAACTTGGCAACATTGTTATCTGCTTTGATCACAATAATAATATCATTACTTTGGTATGCTAGAATCCAGTTCTACTCATTTTTCTCATATACATCTACAGGGACACTGGGGATATTGACTGGAATTTTTTTGTTCACTGCCTTTCTCACTTATTTGGTGGACAGTGAAGAACAACAACATCATCGACCACAAACTGGACATTAATATGTTATTATGCTATATTTCAGTATATACAATCAAAGTAAGCACAAATGTGGGTCTCAAAATATATTAAAATGTATGTAATAAAATTATGTAACTACATAGTTTCTAATTTATACAGCAAATATTTTGTTTTTATTTATTATATCCAAAACACTATATATTATTGTTGAATAACTGAACTATTACTCTATAAAAKCTAGTTGTATATGTTATTTTTTTWTTTATTTAGGAATTACTAACAACAAATTTGTTATGTATGAATCCTGTGTTTTTCAACTTAAAAGTGCATAAAAAAAACTTATGAAATAGAAATATAAAAAAATTTTGGACTAAATATTTCTTCTCTTTTATTTTAAAGTATGTTTTGTAGTATAATTAATCAAAATCAATCAATTCATAATTACATAACTWAAACAAATCTTAGTAGTCAATATGTTATGTATTAAAATTAAAATAATGTTATAATGGTATTAATGTATAACTACTATATTAGATTTGTTTGAGATTTAGTTGATAAGTTTAGAAAAATAATAATTGTCTGTTTTATTTTTTTATACTTAACCATTATTAAATTTATTGATTACAATTTGTTAATTTAATATGTCCACAAATGTCCTAAGTAATTCATTTATTTGATGATAGTGTATGTTTTTTCTGATATTAGTTTTAGTTTTATTATTTTAAACTATATCAATGATTTTTTTATTATGTATTATGATATTGTAGTTAATGAAATTAGCTTGTAGAAGTATTTTTAAGCACTATAATGCATTTAATTAGTAAATATCATTAAAAGGTATTTTATTTGCTATAAGAGATATTTAAAAAAATATTGGTTTATTAAATTTTAGAATTAAAGGGTAGATACTTATTAGACACTTTATAAATAATATGTTAACTTTATTGTTTTATAAGAATATAAATAAATGTTTATTCTTCAAAACAAAATTGTTAAGTTGTATATCTATTTAGATTATAATTGATATTTCTATTCATAGTGTGTATTTAGTACAGGTGTATTGTGATCGTTGGTAAATTACTTTTATAGTTTTATGAGTTTTTCTATTGGCAATGAAAACATTATTGTTATTAAAGTCAGCTTCTAAATGAATCTAATTAAATATGACATTAAGAAGGATCTACTTTATTGGAAAAGTTAAGGGATGAATATTCCTTATTTCCTTTATTACATACCAGTTATAAAATATCTAGAAATTCAGTTGATAAAATTGAGGCGAAACATACCTAGATGTTTCATTACCCTCAATGGTATAATATAGGTACCATTTTACACCAGTTTAGACCAATGGATCAACAAATTTCTAGTTTGACACACTTATTGACAAACAATCAATAAATAAAATAAAATTTATTAGAATGATGTGAATCTATTTCCCCTCAGCACAATCTTATAGCTTTTAGGCGGTGCTGAAATATTGTAAAATTGTTAAATATAACCAAAAATGAATTGTATTTTATTGTTGCAAATATATATTATTATTATCATATATGTTTGACTATATGYATCCCAAACATGAATTCTTGAAAAAAATAAATGATTAAACAATGATAAATAATGAATATATTATTGTGTCAAGTATAAATTGTGTCGCCGACATTATGATAAAATAATGCAACAGTCCGAGTCTTAGGATTTATTGCTAAATAAGCAAAACTATAGGGTATAGAATTTCTGAATTCTTTTGGAAATAAGACTGTGTTGTTAGAATCGAAAGCAACAACTTTATACATCTTGGACGAGACTTTTATTCCGGAGCCGGGAACTTTTTCGACACTGAAACAAGCAAAACATGAATCACTTCAAATTTATGAGAGGAATAAATTATTATCATAATCCATTTTAATATTTTATGATTTCTTTACTCGAGTAGATCTTTGTAAACGTATTTTATTGCATTCAAATACGGTTCGATAACCACGTCGTCTTGACACCATTGACCACCGGTTGAGAAATGCCGCAACAACCGAAACATAAATTCTGATCGTTCGTCTTCACTATACAAAAAATATTCTTCACATTCATCTTCAAACAACATCTAGACGTTAAGATATTCATGGTAATTACAGTATTACTCAATCGATGCAATATCGTATCAACTATCAATGTTATAACATATTAATATATTCATAAATTTTATATACGTTACCACATGAGCGCGTGACCCGCTTACCTATATATCGGACATAGGTTTTTATATATGCATAATAAATGAATCTAGGAAAAAAAATTTCCGGAATATCTATACTTATCTAATTCTTATAAAATATTCACGTTAATTGTAGGAGTAGGGCGTTTCTTCAGGGTTAAGTATTAAATTCGTATGTGTACGTCGTTACAAACAATAAAGTTACCTATACTAAAATATTTGGTAACGGTAAGTACTAATATATATTTATATATATAAAATATATATACTTGTATATTTACATATATATAGGTATCTAGTTTGGATGTTTGGTGATCGATATAATATTACCCAATGGCCAATAGTATTTAATTGATTCCAAGTAATATAAACAATTTAGTTATCAAACAAAAGATTAAAGACGTATAAATGGTATAATATAATAAGTACAAAGGATGTACATAGGTAGGTACTTCACGACTTCACGGTCAGTAACATTTATAGGTGGTGATTGAGGGGWGCTTCAGGGGCTTAACCTCTTCCAAAAAAATATTGAAAGCACCAGAAAAATTATTGAACATTTTTCAAAGTACCCCACTTCTTATTTTGTAAAGAATGATTTAAGCTCCCTCTAAAATTCAATCAAATATTCGCCTATACCAGAGGTATTCAAACTGTGCGTCGCGGCTCCCATGGGCGTCGCGAGAGTTTGCCAAGGGAGCCACGCATCAAAGCACCGAAAACCAATATCATACCTAAGTCTTGTATAATTATTATAAATATTATTTGCAATCATTATGGAAATAAAAACGACATACCTTACGATTCGACCATCTGAAGTCTTATTTCTAGTCACTGTTATTATCACCCATATAGCATATTTCCCATATTATTGTATCCGTGTTTTGTTTTAATTTTTTCATAATAATTTGGGAGCCGTAAAAATATTGTGAACACCCAAAGGAGCCGCGTGCTGAAAAAGTTTGAATACCTCTGGCCTATACGGTTGTAATTTATATTGACAAAAAATCCATAAACCATAACTATATAGCACCCTTTACATTTACACTATAAGCACAACTGCACAAGTTATGTTTTATATTTGGGTGCGGGTGGCCAAACCCAACTATATAAATATTGAATAAAATTAAAATAATCTAGGAAGTGTTTAGTGTAGTTAGGCAGTTAGGCTTAGCTCCTAACCCCAGGGCCATATATTTACGAACGGACAAAAAAGACATTTGTTTTGGGCCCATGGGGCCGACCGGTGACTAACACTAACTATATAATATAATACATATTATGGTCCAATTTTTTATTTTGGCCTGGATGATACAGTGGCGTCCCTAGACCCTTTCATAGGGGGGGGCGAACTTCATACATCACCTATATATTTATATGAAAATACACCAATTACTAGGTTTTTTACCTTTTAATTAATTTTAAGAAAGAAAATAGAGGTCATGGAGGGGGCGACTGCCCCATTCGCCYCTCCCCTTGAGGACGCCCCTGGGATCATATATTTGGTAAATCAGGCTATATGCCTAACCCAACGGTCGGCAACTGGCGGACCGCCGTCCGAATCCGGACCGTGGAACTCAGAAAGCCTCTCCGGATCGTTGACATGTGACATGTCTTAACATTTTTTCTTCATATTACTATTATAAAAACATAACGATTTGGCAAACATTTTATTCATTGGACCTCATTTATTTACTATTTTAATCTTCCGGACTCCAACAGAAATTACTTGCCGACCCCTGCACACGCATAAAAATCGTTAGTTGTTTTAACTCCAAATGTAGTTAATGTCCAATACATTTGAGCGTCGATTTTGACTTAGAACTCAATAAGTGTTGATTTTACTACTGTTCAACATCATTAAAATTACTATAAATAAATTGTTAGGACAAATACATTATAATGCTATATTAAGATATCTTAAGAGGACGCCACACCCGCATGTGTTGTCTCCGGCATACAAGTGCGTAGCATAGCAAATTTTACACTCAGCAAATCACGTTTATCTCCGTTAATTTAAAATTTAGAGTGAATTGA